GGAAGTAGCTGAGAGCAGTCCTGCCCTAGAAGGAAGGAATGCGATCTTCTCTTGGAGGGTCTTCCAGACTTTGCTTACATGCACCTTGTATCTGGCCCTCCTAGTTGGAGCCTGTGTACCGTTCAGTTGTTGATAAACCACTTAATTGCTGCTGTGATCTATGAGTTTTGCGATGCCTTAGTAATGGATTATCAACACAGCAGTGAAGTAGAGTGTTCCTGGCAGAACTGTTGATGTCAGAACTGGTAATCAGGCTGAAAGCTGGAAGTTATGTCTGACCTGGGCCACGTAGGATTTAGCTTTGGGTTGATAGCCCTGGGGAAAAACAGGTTCTCGTGCTATTACGATTATTGCTTTACACCAAATTTCAAGAAATACCCTGGATTTCTAACCTTGACTTTACCCAAGAGTGAACTGAAAAGGCAAAGACTGGGAGATGATAAAAACTTAACATGGTCAAGTTGATGGGGATGGGGAGCAGTGAACAAGGGAGGAATGACAAGGTTCAAGGTTAGAAGCGTTTGTCCAAGGCGGTGGGGTGGGAAGGGGCTTTCTGATCATGCTGGGGTTTGGATTCCTTATGAAGTGACCTGAGAGCCCCTGTATTGAGCACCCTTCATACCATGATTCGCTGATCAACTATCTGAGATGCTGCACTCCTCTGCTGTAGTTTTCACAAACAAAATCAAAATCAAGAACAACTTGTTGCCATTCAGCCAATTCCAACTCATAGCGACGCATAGGGGTTCCTGAGGCTGTAAATCTTTCCGCGAGCAGGAAGCCAGGGGTTCAAACTGCTGACCTTGCTGCTGGCAGCTCAATGCATGCGTACTACTCGTAGCAATTCAATTTAAGAGTAGACTTGCCCTCCGCGGGTTTTCTGAACTGCAAGCTACCAGGAAGCACATCACCAGGTCTTTCTCCCATGGAGCCAATGGCTAACACGTTGGTTAACCTGGAAACCCGGACACTGGCAAGCCAGCTCTACCTACTTGGCGTGAGAGAACACCATTAAAGAGACTTCAACGGTTGTTCTCGGCTTCGGGCAGCCCGGGGGCCCTCTCCTACCTAGCGGAGAAACGGTGATTCCGGGACCTCCTCCACACCTGTGCGCGGTTCCTCAGCACCGTCGCCACTGTGGGACCACGGGGACAATGTAGCGATGCTGCAGAGGCTGGCGACACGGCCGGCCCCCACGGGCTTCCGTGCCACGATCGGGGTGACCTCGGTCTCCCCGAGTGAAAAGACAAGGCCCAAAGCGCCGCAACGGGGACTGCGGAAACGGCGGGCGGGCGCGGCGGAAGCAGGTCACCGGAGGACCCGCGGGGGGGCGGGGGCTGACGGAACACCCCGTTAGAGGAGGGCCACGGCTCCTGCTAGGGCGCGGAAAGGGGAGCACCCCGAAGCCGAGCGCAGGAAAGCTACAACGGAAGACGTTCCGGTCCCCGAGGTTTCCGTGGGGGACAACCGTCGCTTGCCGATGACGTACCCACCACAGGTCCCGCCCCGACGCAAACGTCCCGCGGATAAAGCCTCGCGGCTTGGCAAACGTGGACGTTCGCAGACGCACAGGGCACAGCTTTCTGGGTAACGTAGTCATTTCTCCGCGGACAGCGGGTGGGGTTTTGCAAATAAGAGCTCACAGCCCCAAACGGGATCGGACAACTTAAGAATAAGGTATACAGCAGCCTTTTAGGGGTGGAAGTGTGTAAATAGGTGGAGGCTTCAAAATGTGCGTGGAAAATGGAATTTTTATAAGCTATATGGAATCCTAACAAGGGGATTGGCCACCTTTGCCATCTTGTTAAGCATAAAAGCCATCACAGAGGCAAAATGTGAGGCATGACTATCATCAAGAGATGTGACTGAAGCATGCCCTTTGCATCCAAGGTCCCTGCACTGGGAATTGACTACAGCCTGGAGACGGAGCTCTCACACCAGAGACAGAGCAGCGCAGAAGACAAGCAGGATATGATACAGAGTGAACAAGGTAAGCACCTTCAGGCCAAAGCTTACTGGCAGAGTAAGGTACCTCTGGGCACTTATAAGTACAGCTTAAAAGCTTTATAACACTCTCCCAAACTGAGTAGAGGCCAGGCGGAGGGGCCAACCACCAGAGAGAGACCTGTTTGTGAGTATGGCTGAGAGGCGGAGGCTATCTTGGCTAAAACTCTGTACCCTGAGTATCTTTGGATCTTGAATTGTAACCTGTTAATTTCCCTAGTAAACTTCATTATCATGAGTATCGTCTGTGAGTTCTGTGTGGTCGTTGCAAAGAATTATCCAACCCAATAGAGTGCCATGGGCGGATGGCTGAGGTCGTAGTTGTAAAAGGTGGAGGAGGAGCTATTTCAGCAGTCTGCTTCACGGGGATCACCCTCTGGCTGGTGCTGATTTTCTCGCCTCCTCGTGAATTCAGGTGAGGCCAGATGCCCTGCCAAACCATTTTTAAAAGGACTCACTCTAGAACAAAAACCAGTTCAAAATGTATCAAACATCTATGAGACCTAATCTGCTGTGAAAAAAGGATAACAAATACTAAAACAAATTAATAGAAGGCAAAATAGGCACATTAGAGTCTCAAAATTTTAAAACTTGTGCTCATCAAAATAAAAAGACCTGTAAACCCACTGCCATTGATTCTGATCCCAATCAACCCTATACAGGGTTTCCAACACTGTAAGTGTTTATGGAAGGAGACAGCCTCACCTTTTTCCTGGAGAGCAACTGGGAGGTTTGAACCACTGACCTTGTGGTTCGCGACCCAATGTCTAACCCACAGTGCTACCAGGGTTCCATGCTCATCAAAAGACTTTATAAAAAGAAGAAACATAACCTACTGATTTGGAAAAAAAATATTGGCAACAATGTTTCCAATAAAGGTCTAATCTCTTAATTCTACAGAAAACTACATCAACAAAGATACCCAATCACACAAAGGGCAAAGGGTAGCAAGAGAACCTTCTTCACCCAAGAGGACATCATCCACGCAGCCATAAACGCATGAAAAGATGTTCATGATCATCTGCCTTGTGGAGAGACAAATCGAGCTAAGTGAGATATCTAGCTTAAAATAGCACCAATTAAATATATATACATTAGCAAGGATGTGGAGAGATGGAAACCATCACGCGGCTTTTTTTTTTAACTTAAAGATGGGGGGTGGGGGTGGG